CTTTTGAAATTAACACGGTTATCTCAAAATGAGGTAAGCTTTTAGAGAAAGTGGAATTGGAGGCAATAGGAAACAACAAGATACCTTGGTTTGAATATCTACAGGTATCACATCTGTTTAACTCTGTGAAGAACATTATTCCCTTTGATAGCCCATCCACCTTCTTTGAGAGAATTCTGTCATCCAAAATTTTTTTGAAGAAAGGTCTGACCTTCCTATTATATAAAACTATGCTAAAGGATACTCTCTCTGTGGAAGCTTACCAATTAGCATGCCATAAAGACCTCGGTAGATCACTTACAGAAAATCAATGGACCCAGATCTGGGGCTCGTCAACCTTAACTTCTAAATCAACGTTAATACAAATGCAATCTGTCAAGGTTCTTCTGCGGTGGTATCTTATACCAGTTAAGCTCTCTTACTCCTCTTCAGTACCCCCCACACATGTTGGAAAGGCTGTGGTCATTGGGGTACTTACTTCCATACTTGGTGGGAGTGTCCCGTTATTTCAGGTTTTTGGGATGCAATTTTAAGAGAGATTTAAAAACTCACGTGTATGCTTCCCAAAGACCCTGCCCTCATCCTTCTGAATCTGTGGCTCAAAACTCACATCCAAAAGTCGGTAAGAGAACGGATTTCGGTACTACTAACTGCAGCCAAGTGTATTATTGCAAGACTCTGGAAAACTCAAGCTGTTCCCACTATAGATCAATGGTACACTAAATTATGGGAATACCTAATCGACGATAAGATTTCTGATTGGATAGCCCAGTGTGGCTCAGCAGAAACTTCTACCAGTTCAATGGACAAGTGGAATATTTTATTAGACAAACAAAATAGGTTTATGATGCATAGGCCATGTAACCCATGGTTAAATGCCATGTCTTTATACATGTTTTATTAACCATCAGAATATGGGGCTAGAAACGAAGGTTACTGTTGTTATTGTTATAAATATAGTGTGAAAGTTGAGATAACTTTCTGATTGAGATAACTTAGGGTTTGTTATTGTTATTGTACTGTTTGTTAATGTGGTACTGCTCGAAAAGTTATGTGTTCCATTTAATTGTACTTCCCTCCAAGGTTAAACCTTGTATAACTTACTTCTTCTTGTAAATGTTTCATGATGTTTATTGTGTGTTTGTATACTAAATAAACTTATTTTAACAGAAAGAAAAAAAGAAGGATCAGTACCAACCTACTGAGGGGTATCCTGCTAACATGGGAGAGGGGGCACCCAGTGCAAGGATCACAGCTCTTCCTTCACCTCCCCCCCCAGCAGCTCTTCCCAACCCAGATAAAACTTTATTGCTAGGAGACAACACCAACCTCCCTGCCTCTTCCATCACCAGTGCTCCACTGACAGAGAAAGAAGGGAGTCATTTTTGCCCCTTTCCCGCTGTAGCTTCCAAACCCAGGTGGCTATTGCTCCACACACCTTCTGCAGATTTGGGAATAAACTTCCCCGGATTGGACAGGACTGCTGGGGGGAAATAGGGAAGATCTGCAACCATCAAATGAATATGCATATGACCATTTGATTGACAAAGGGGTATGGAACCCTCCTCAATAAGGTCATCTATTTAGTGTGCAGAACAAAAGCTTCTAATTGCAGTCACTCAGAAGAAGGCATTGTCTTTGTAAAATATGCCTCTGGCCATTATTGTGTTCTGCTCCTGAGACGTTAGCCCAGCAATTTGATTATAGAGCTTACTTGGCCACAGCAGCCAGAAACTGATGGCTTTGGTTAGCAGAAGCTGGTCATGTTTCACAATTCCAAGCAAACCTCTCAGCAGAGGGTGAAATACCACAGGACACAGCAAAGTTGGAACAAATCGCTCATTGTCTGGGGTGAATGGGCCAAACCACAACGCTTGCTCTTTACCATAATCCAGAAAGTAAACTGAAAATCAACTTGGGCTGTTTGACTAAGAAAGGTGCATGAGAAAAAGCTGGAGATTGCCCTCTTATGGACAGCAGTAGTAAAGACAACTGCACAGGGCACATTTCCTATCCCTCTTGCAACTCAGTCTCTATGTAAAGCCCTTAAGAGACATCATTCATAGTCTTGGAACTGGTTGACATCAATATGCTGGATGACACCCAGTTCTCTGTCTCTCTATCCAAATTTTCTGGCAATGTGGTGGTCCTGAGCCACTGCCTGACTGCTGTGGTCAAATGGCTGAGAAAACAAACTGAAACTGAATCCTGACAAGATGGAGATAATACTGGTTGGGAAAGGTGAGGTGTTGAAGGACAAACTATTTCCCACTTTTTATGGGGTTCAGTTGAGCCTTGCTGACTCAGTTAAGAGCCTAGAACTTATACCAGATCCAGCAATGCAGCTGCAAAAAATGCTTTCTTCTCACTGCGTCAAGCTGGGAAGACGGTTTCCTACCTTGACTCATTTCGTCCAGTCACCTGAATCAATGCCATGGACACTTGCACACTTCTCCCACACATCACCCTGCCCACCAGGCTTAAAGTATTAGCTGGGGTTCCTTCTCTCAAGATGAACCTATATGGAAATTACTTCCCTGCAGGGAAATTGATTAAATCATGCATTATTCAGCCTTTCAGAATTTAGTACTGCTAAATCTAAGTAAGGTAAAAGGTAAAGGTTCCCTTGCTCAAAAGCCAGTCGAGTCCGAATCTAGGGTTGCGGTGCTCATCTCAGTTTCAAAGCCGAAGAGCCAGCACTGTCCAAAGATGTTTCCGTGGTCATGTGGCTGGCATGACTAAACACCAAGGCGCACGGAACGCTGTTACCTTCCCACCGAAGTGGTACCTATTTATCTACTTGCAATTTCTTGCTTTCGAACTGCTAGGTTGGCAGGAGAAATCAAACTATGCAGTCCTAATTGATAGCATCAACTGGCTTGGTCAGGTTCATCTTATCCAGGTACAGGAACACAGAAATTAATTTCAAAGCAGGAGCTGTGTCAGTCTGCTACAGCAAAAACATACAGGACTGAAAGGCTAACTTTACTCCAAGATAAGCTATTGAGGACAGCATTTGAATATATAGTCCATGTAAGTTTATGGAGGAATAAAATTTTGTTCTCTAAAATGCCGCTAGTCTTTATTTTCACCACAGAGATTTTCCATAGTATTTCCAGCCAGAACAGTAGGATTGATCATAAGAGTTCACTATAAGAATTAAACAACACCCACCAGCAGTCTTCGTTACTGCAAAAGTGGAGTGAAAGGAGTCAGGAGTGTGTACTGCTGAAACTTATTTACAAAGAGCTAGGAAGCATAATTACATACATACAAGAATGCAGTATCTCCTGTCATTGATTTGCCCTACAGCTGAAGATAGGAAGGGATAGGAAGATTTCTGCAGATTTCTAACTTTCATTGCCTTAATATTATTTACTTCATTCAAACCCTGTGTGTGTCCCTCCTCCCCCTTGGGGACCCAAAGCATCTTACCTTGTTCTCATATCCTCCATTTTATTCTCACAACTGCCGTGTGAGATAAATGAGGCTGAATGTGTGTTACTGACTGAAAGTCACCAGCAAGCTTCCATACCTTACAATTCTGAGGTAACTCAACTACTTTCCTTTGTCTTCCCAGTTCATAAGCAACCTTTTCAAGTATAGAAGTGAGGCCCCTGCTTTGAGCCACAATGTCTTTGGATTGTCATCAATACTGATAAATCTCTATCAATTGCCAGCAGTTAATATATCATCACATATTTAATTACATCTCCAATGTTTAATGGAGAAGGTGAAGATTTCCTGTGTCTCAAAAATGACCAAACTAGCTGTTTAATTCTTATATAACAGTGAGTGATTAAAATGTGGAATTCACTGCCAGAGGATGTAATGATGGCCACATGAAAAAACAGCTTTAAAAGGGTATTAGATAGATTCATGAAGGATAAGTCTATCAATGGCTACTAGCCATGGTGACTGAAGGGAACCTCCAAATTCAGAGGCATTAATTGTCTGAATCCCAGAGCCAGGAGTCAACATCAAGGGAAGGCATCAGCCTCTATGCCCTGTTGTTGGCTGTCCAGAGGAACTGGTTGTTCACTGTGTGAGACAGGATGCTGGACTACATGGACGACTCGCCTGATTCAGCAGGGCTCTTCTTATGTTCTTATAACCTACATGCCTACTACTTCACTGTATAGACAAGTTTTGGTCAAGTGCCATATATCTATTTGGAAAGTATTTATAGAGTAAGAAGCTTCTTTAAAGTCAGTTCCTTTACAGAATACAAGAACTCAACGACAATGCAAATTTATCTCTGGCATTAAGACTCAAGGGAATTTGCTAAAATCTACTGAGAAAAGTTAAGACTGCATCAAATAACAAGCAATTAAACTTGAGAAGGGACTTCAACTTTAGTATGAGCAACTGTGCTACATCTAATCAATACATCAATAGAAAACAAACAAATGTTTTGAGATTGTTTTAAACTAACACTCCCTCCAATTCTATATGACACCAGAAATTAAGATTACCAAATTACGTCAGGAGGCATCTTGATATCTTTGGAAGACAAAAGAAAAAAGTGTACTTAGCTTTGCAGCTTTTCATACGCTGATGGCACAGATGGGTAGACTTTGATTAATAAGAGGATAAACTTAAATCTGCAGTAACACAGTAGGAAGTCTAAGATGGGAAAGCCACTCTATTTACAAATTATTTTGCAAGTGTAACTCAGTAGCTTGGACTTGACGTCTGTAACATTCAAACCAATGAATTTCCCCCATGAGAAATACTGTTTCAGATCCTCTGAAGTAGTCATATAGCTCTTACCCTAGATCCTACAATTCACAGAAGCTGGTTTTCAGAAAGAATAAGGTCGACCCTCTGGTGAGTTTACTTAGGTTCTTCCAGGCCGAGGTGGCTTGCTCGGCAGAATGGTACAAGGACAGCAGAGATTTAGTTCGGTTTCAACCCATCATTAGCCTACCAGTCTCTTATTTATCTGGCATGTAATAAAGCCCAGTACAGATCAGAGAGGCATCAATTAAACTTCTGGGACCTACAAATAAGTTTATTGAAATATAACAAAATTAGACAAATGCACTTCAAGGCAGAGGAAAAGGACCATAAATATTTTACACATTTGTCTCCAATCCATATGCTACAGGAGCAAAAAATGAAGTGCTAGTGGGTTCCGGTCTTCTACACAACCACACATTTGCACAGAAGTCATAAAAAAGGAAAACCTTTTGCTCGCTCCAACAATAGTGATAATATATATATTTACACCAAGTTTCACATTATAACTGTCCCTTACACAGTGGTCTCCGCAAGCCCTCTCCCTGCTCGACAGCTCCTACTCCCAAGAGGAGCAGGGCTGCTGGAAAGCACAATAAGGACAGCGTAGATGGGATTACAGAACCCAAGCAGTCTAATTGCACGGCTGCAGTCCCAATGGGCAAGCCAGCCTTTTAGAGAAATGGACTGAGAGCAGCCACCTGACGCTCCTAGGAATCTGCTGCCTCTTGGGCGGTTTCAAGCGATGCAGAAACTAAGCTTCTTTGGGGGTGGAGGCTCCATTTAGATTCCGGTGGGACTGGAGTGAAGTCCTCAGCAGGATGCATAATAAGCGCTAGAAGTGGGGAGGAAAACTGAAAACATTGTGCAACATTTTTCTGATCACAGGATAGTTGATTGCTCAAAAACAACGACCAACAGAAGGAAATGAATTAAGTACTTCAGGGGGGAAAATGATTATGGGGAGGGGTATTGCTACCAGGTTTTTCAGTCTCAAATTCTTTCAGGGCTCTTCATCCCCACCACAGTGGAGAGTAGAATACGCCAGTGGGGAGATGTGATGCACAGAGGGGAAGGTGCTTCTGCCAACTTTGCACAGAGCAAGTTTTAAACAGCAAGCTTCTTGGTGTGCAGTCTCCTGTAGTCTCAATAATTCTTCTTTAGAATAAGCAGTTCCCTCCAAGTTTCAGCCAGTGACACACTGTACACAATAATTCTGAGATGGAGTTCTACTGGCTAGAGAAGCATTGCCAACATCTCTATCCCAAGCACACTCATTTTCATGATTGTGGAAACTTCCTTCTACAATGAAGGGTAAGGATGACTTCAGAGCTTCCCAACCACATCTAGTTAGAAGGGAACAAAAAGATAAGCCACACTGGGGTGGGGGTGGATGGGGGGTAAGGGAGCGGGAAGAAAGTAAGAATATGTGGCACAGGCCCATTCGCGCATTATGCATTTTACATTTACTGTAAAGGTATCAGAACGGGTTCTGAATGGTGAAGCGGGTTCCAGTTGCAACTCAGGAAGCCATCAGGGAAAGCCCTTCATCCTGTGCTTTACAGATGAACTCCAGCATGCACACTAGGGTCAAACATGCAGCTGAGAGAGGCTGTGCAAGAGGCAAAAGGTGGCCACCAAACGAACAGCAATCTTTCTGTCAGCGCGACAACTGACACTCCACATCCTTACTAGTCTGGTTCATAATGCTTATAAAGATTTCCCTTGCAGCTGCAGACTTGGAGACAAATACAACACAGATGTACTGATGTCCCGGAGCAACTCTATACGAGTTGATTAAATTAAACCTTGAGGTAGAAAACTCCTGAAGAACTTAGGCAATGACATGTTCTGGGAAGGAAAATAAGGTGTGCAATGAGCCAACGGGTACAGCCAACCTATGTATGATCCAGTTTTAAAGCTTTATTAAAGTTCTGAGGGGTTGGTAGAAAAGGCAGGCAGACTCAGGTCTCCTAGCTGTACACTGCACATGGAACGCCCTTAAATGTTATAACTGCCTCCGACAGGATTATGCCTGTTCAGGTCTCAGCAGCTTTAAGTCTTGAAAGACAGACATCTGGGATTTGGAGGCAGGGGTCCCATTTCAGTGTCATGCTTGCCAGTGGAAGTAGCTTTCCTAATCAAACATTTCATTAGCACAATACCCTTCTGAAGGAGAAGATAACGCTTTCCTTTAAAGTGCACTGCATTTTCCCTCATTAGGTAAGTCTGGCTCAAATCCTATAAATCAAAGAAACTGGTAAAGGAAGATGACAGTACTTCATGATTACTTAGAGAAGGAACCAAAGGAACTAGGATTAAGTAGGTAACTACCTTAATCTGAGAAACAACCTTCCTTAGTGTTGACAGCATAATTTATGGGATCAAGTGACCTAGAATTATATTAGAAGGAAAAAAATAATAAGTATGCGGAACATGGCACATCCAACACTCCAACCGGATGCAAATTCAAAAGAATGCTCTGGAATGCCTGCTTAGACAAATTGCCTCCAAGGAGGTTTCCCCTTTGATAAACTTTAACAGAAAAGCTACGGGCATTTAGGAGATCAACACAATCGGATATTGCAGCTGCCAGCAGGCTCCATTAATGTGCTACAGCATAGGCACTAGTCCGTAGAATTTTCCAAGTGGCAATGTTGAAAAGACATTACCAGCAAAACAAGACAGTGTAGCGCACTAAGGAGCTACTACAGAAGGGCAAGGCCCGCACTGTCAGCCCATTACAATGAATGGGGACCTCAGAATTTAGTGCATCTCAGAAAGCTATCCTCCATGAACTGCAACATTTGATACTATCCCCCAAGGGTGCTGCATAGCCTTAGGTATTCAGCTGTTTTATGGAGGGAGGGGGGTGGCAGGGCAGGAAGAGACATAAGAATATGCTGCTCACCTGCTGACCTTTCCTCTCATACACTGCACATAAACTGAAATGCCATCATCAGCTTTTGTAGAAACTGACAGGGGTACTCAAAAAGCAGGACATCCGGACAGTAAGAGGTGCAGGTTGGTCCTCCACAGTTTCAAGACTCGGAATCTGTTGCCATCTAAACATCACTTAGTGGCTGATAAAAAGATTTCACTTTTGACTCAGCAGAGGGAAGTGTCGAGCAGGCTACTAAACAAGGCCACACATCTCATGTGACACAGGTCTGATTAACATGCTTGCCTAGCCAATCCTATTCCCGATAACTAGCCAGTTCTGAGACATCCCCGGTGCTGTTGCTGCCGCTGCCGCCTCCTCCAAGCAGAGGAGCTTAAAGGCAACCATGTGTCCATTCTCCAGATCCATCACTCTGCAGAGATGCGTGGCTGCCTAGTGTGGTTTACATGAGGTACAGTAAAACTGGGCAAATGAGGTGCAGTGACAGCACACAGAGACTGTTCACATTGCCCCGTGGCTCAGGCCTCACAGATGATAACAGGGAAGTCCACATGAATCCGAGGGTGCTCCAGTTTCACTATGCCCTGCAACGAGAAGGGGGTGACGAGGATGAGATAATGTCACATACAAAGCTTTCAAGAATTAGGCTACAAATGATCCATTTACTTCAAGGCATGCTGAATAGAGGCACATGATAGTTCCTCACTGTTGCGTGTCTAAAGGCCACTATGAATAACTGAACTATCAAAAGTAAGGTTACGAGAATGAACTCTAGATAGAAACTAGACATTGCTAAGGGTCAGAAGATGTTGGGTAGAGGACCTCTGCTACTAAGGCTGTCCATCTAACAGAATTTAAGTGTTTGTCTCCTGGGAAACATCAGTCAAGTGCCACTGAAGGTAAGGAGGCCACAGTTTTGGTACAAAAGATGAGTAAACTCTGACAAGTAAGTAAAGCAAGGCCAGTGAGTATATGAACTGAATCCCACCAAATGACAAGGCTCAGACAACATGTTATGAGGGTTCCAACAAGTAAACTTAAAGGCATAATCCCTGCAAGCGCTGCCCCAGAAAACTAACGTGCAACAGTAGCGCTACACAATCTTGGTTCAGCATTACAGTCTCATGGGATTTCAAGCAACTAACGATGAGCAAACAAAGCTGAAAACCAGAAAAATAGTATTTTGTGACTGCTTTTACCTGAAAAATGGCAGTATCACATCTCGCACTGCAAGGTTTGTAAGCTGGCAAGTCCAAAATATCAAAGCACTACAAAGATCAAGGGAATCTATTTTGCAATGCACATTTTGTGGCAACAATATCGAGGAAGCATTCATAGTTTCTGAGGAACAGCCACCACTTTGACAGGCATTTAACTACTATAAAGGTCACTGGATACAAGGCATCTTCTGATAATCCATGCCTTGCTAGCAACAGTATGCATTTATTTCCTGGTGTGCCAGCTGCAGAGAGGTATCAACCTTCAATATTTGCCTGCAACTACTGCAGAAAGTATTGTCGTCAGGGCAAAACCACCTCTGCAACATGATCAAGGAGAGCCCTAGGTTGCACACAGACATACTATGTTTAGGCAGATCTGAATCAACTGTAAGAAAGCAGCTTCTATTCTGAATATGTTAGTACTTATAAAAAGTTAGCAGAAAGCTCTGAGAGGAAGAAAGAGCCTTCTTCTCTATGTAAAGGCGCATATGAAAAATCATTCATAGTTTTGGAATTAGGTATCATCAATATGCTGATAACACCCAGCTCTCTCTCTATCCAAATGCCACAGGACACAGCGATCTAATGGACTCAAAACTAAAGTACTACCCAAGATTTTAAACACAGTATTTACAGGGGCTCTACCAAGTAAAGCATTTATATTTAGCAGAAGTGTTAAAGCATTTAAACATTTTTAGCCACAAAGATGTGAGTGTAATTTTTCCTTACAACAATTACTCTCAGGCTATGAGATACCCTCCCTGAAGTCTGGAGTTGATCTTCCTTGTCCTGATTTTGTAGGGGGTACATTCTCCTATTTTAGAAGGCATTTTTTAATTTATGTTATTTTACTACTAATAGGATGGTCTTAATAGGCTCCCCCTTCTCCTCAAGTTATTGTTTTTAATGTTTCTTCTCTACTGCCATGAGTTGAGGCAGAGTGGACACCAATTGGTTGGCCTCCCTGCACAGAAGTTGCCCTGACCAGGGGTCGTTTCATAGAAAAAGAGCTAGGGGAACTCATTAGCATAACACATTAGCATATGCCACACCCCCTGACATCAGGGGCCCGGCGGCAGGAGTGTGAGGAAGCCCCGCCAAGGCCCTCCCTGGCCCCAGGCAAGCAGGGCTGGGGAGAGGCAGGGAGGAAGAAACTTACCCTCCCTCTTCTCCTGCCTCCTCCTAGCTGAATGAGGGGCGGAAGCAGGGCGGCCGGAAGCAGGGGGCGGGGCTTCATCGTGTGCCCCGCCCCCTGCACCTCACCCAGGGGAACTGCGATCCCCCCCCCCGAATCGACCTCTGGCCCTGACTATTTGCCCTGTGTGGAGTCCTGGTATCATATGAGCTTGGTGTGACTCCAGTTACCATCAGTCCAACTTATAGGGGATCTGAACTGTTGTATTTAATTTGCCATCTTTTAACTGTCTAATGGTTTTAGCTGTTGAGGGCGGGGTAAAAATCTCGATAAATAAATAAATTATATTACCTGGTTTTAATTGTTCATGCACTTAGTTGTTACCTGCCCTGAGCCCATTTTGGAAAGGGCGGGATATAAATCTAACTAATAAAAATAAATAAATAAACATGAGAAAGGTAGGATAAAAATATTCTCTACTGTTCTTTTAATTCATTAGGTAAACCTTTAAAAACCAGCACAGACTGTTACGAAACCAAGATTGATTTTCATACTTGCCGCTAATTATCTACCTAAGTTCCAGAAATGAGGCATCTGAAGCTTCTGTGGCTATTTTGAGGGATAGGTTATTACTGAAACCATTAAACGGCCCTAATTCCTGTTTGGGTGTCATGATATAAACTGGAGGTTATCTTGAAACAAGCATTTTAGGACTTCAGTCACTGCCAAGAGTACCTTACAAGAAAGTTGATATAGATTCGCTCTTACATTTCAAGTGATTGCAATACAAACACACACACACACACATATGCACACACACACATACAGATGGCCACTGCAAGTGTACCCACTTCTGTATCAGATGGACCACATGTTCCCCCAAACAACAAAGTTCTCCAGCATACTCTATATACAGAGTATACAGTTTGCCAGGCATGAAACAATTTCTTTTTTAAAAAGATATAAATTCTTGCTTGCTCAAAATGTGAGTGTTGAAAACCATGCTATATTCTCCCCCATTTTCCTTCTGATTGTGTTACCTGAGGTATCAGGTTCTTGTGGATTCTTTTCAGCTTGGCACGCTTTCTCCCATTCTTGGTGACTATTGTCTCCTCATAAAACTCATGAGCAAGATCACCATCTTCATCATAATACATAGAACTACAAGGAATGAAGAATAACCATAAAAGTATCAAACATGAACATAAGAATATAAGTAAAGCCTGCTGGATCAGACCACTGGTCCACCTAATCCAACAGAGTTTCACACAGTGGTCAACAAGTTGCCCTGGAAGGCCAAATAAAGAGGACACAGAAGCTAAGGCCTTCCCCTGCCATTGCCTTTTGGCACTGGTACTCAGTCCCTACAACAAAGAATAAATGGACATAAGTCTGACATTAGAAGCCACAACATTCAAAAACCCATGGGGGAACATTTTAACCTTCCAGGACATTCAGTTGCTGCCCTGAGAGTAGCAGTTCTCTTACAAAGGAATTTCAAAGGGAAATTAGAAAAAGAGACTGCTGAACTGCAACTGATAATGAAGCTCAAGACAATGCATCCTCCTGGACTGAATCAAGACCCAGGTTTTTTGTCTCATTACCAATGCTGATTTCTTCACATCTACTACCCCTCTGCACATCACACCGAATCCAATCAGGCCTGCTATTGTCATTTACCTGCTATTGTCCTTTGCCTGCTAATGTCATTTGGCATCTGAAATCACTCCACTCTCCAAGAATCCAGATGGATTCACATTCTACCTGTACCTGAAGAAGTGAGCAGTGACTCATGAAAGCTGCCACAAATTTTATTAGTCTTTAAGGTGCTACTGGACTCCTGCTCTTTTCTACTGCTACAGACAGACTAACATGACTACCCATCTTTGAAGAACAATTACTGAATTATTAAACTTATTCCTGATCTAACTGCTAGCAAGAGAATTATGGCATCCACATGAGTACTATGAATATCTGCATGTTAGGAGACAACAAGACCAATAAGAATCTCATTTACCAGGTGATGAATTTGAGTGACTAGCAGTTTGTGTACAGCAGATGGATATTTTGACAAATTATATATGGTGAAAAAACCAGAACTCAGTACTATCAAAAGCCCTGACCTGGATAGCCCAGGCTAGCCTGATCTCATCAGATCTCAGAAGCTAAGCAGGGTCAGCCCAGGCAAGTATTTGGATGAGATACCTCCAAGGAATACCAGGGATATAAGGCGGAGGCAGGCAATGGCAAACCACCTCTGAACATCTCTTGCCTAGAAAACCCTACAGGGTTGCAAAAAGTCAGCTGTAACACTGGCACTTTCTACCACTATCAAAAGATGTTCAGTTCTGCGGAATCTACAATCTGTCACAGTACTATTCCAGGACGCCTCTGTGTAAAGAGATTCCAGTGTAATCTCCAAGCTCCATCTAATTTACAGCTGCAGCTTTTTATTTTTTTTTGGGGGGGGGAGAACTTGGCTAAATTAATACAAGGCAATTTAAATTTTTACATGCCTTCTGTTAATAACTGGAATGTACATAACAAATCTAATTTACAGAAGAATGTATGACTGTTAAAGTTGAATGAACATTAAAAACAGCTCTAATTATGTATTGTAATTCCTTGATACATCTTGAAGATGAAATCTTGGCAGAATTGGGTCATCACTTCTATGTAAAAAAAGTATGTTTAAAGTAGGTATGTTTTCCACTTTTATGCAGCTGCCACAGGACTACAGAAGAGATTTCTGCCAAGCAGATGAGTCATTCACCATTCATCTTAGTACAGAAACAACTGAAGACTTCAGCATTTCTGTTGTTTCCAATTCATGTCAAATCATAAACTTCTGCAGAAATGCTCGGTATACATGTTTCAAGACAGACTAAGAGATGTAATTTTGCACTTTGCTTCTATTATTCTTAATGCTGAACAAGCATGGGGGGGCAGTGAAGGTATTCATTATTTGACCTTCACTTATATCCATATGTAGGTGTAGAAACATTGTAGCCAGTCTGCCAACAATCCATTTGATTCAGCAATACCAGGCCATGTGCCTAACACAAAATGAGCTACAAATGCTAATCATTACTTTGGAAGAATCTAGTAAACAAGCCACAGCCAAGCACGTGTGATAGTTTTTATGTCATTTAAGAACTGGCAAAGAAACAGCAGTGCAGAAACAGACTTTATTGGTAGAGGGGGAAATTAGCTCCCAAGTGCATTTCAGAAAGTTAACAAGATGTCCAAGTTCTTCTGTTAGTATATTTTCCAATCTATATAACTAGTGCAGAAACTGACAGCATTCCTGACAAATCATAACAAACCTTATATTATGATTGTACGCTCTCAAAGGTCACACACTGTGGACTGTTGTAGCTAAACATTTTAGATACGGAGTTCACACTAGCATAAAACAAAAAAACTAGCATCAACAAGAATTGTGAAGAAGAGATGCTATAAACCAGGGCAGTCTAGTTTCATTCAATGAGGCATCAGTGACCACAACAGATAAACTGGTCCACTGACTGACCAAATATGGTCAGCTGACTGCATGTTATTTGACTATGGGACTATGAAGCCAAGAATGCCACAGTTCAAGCAAAAGCTAAAGAGAAAAACTGTCCAGTGAATCACTCACATTAATAGAAATTAATCCTTGTAAATATTCACTCATTACATTTTAAAAGCGTTAATTCTATTCTTAGCTATTTACTTTTGGGGATTTACAGTACATATTGCTGATACTACCTTCCACATTGAGAAAAAAGCGAGCTAGGCACTGCACAGAAAAGAAACAAGATAGGTCTTGGCTGCCGGATAAACCCTTCAAGCCATGACAGTCCGCTTAGCTGAAGACCAGCAGTGCCTGGACTGACATGAATTCGCTTCCAGGAGACTTTTTTTAAAAAAGAGAAAAGAAATGAACGCCACTAGAGGGAGCTACTCTTTCATTAAACTGTCAGGAAACTAAGAGCAACGCCGAAGAACGGGTAGGTGAACCACCGGCTACCAGCACCCAAGCCTACAAAAAGTGGTCACTTCGGAGAGGTGTGCAGCAGAATAACCACCTCGCTCGGTGCGGAACCAGCGGGGACGGTCCCCGCAGAAAACCAAGCCCACTGCCAACTTCTGCATCAACCCAAAGACAGCCCAGGCTACAACGCTAACGGAGCATCTCGGAGAGATGAGGAAAGCTTTGGGTCAAGGGCCCGATAAGAAGGAAGCAAGCAGCGGCGTCGCTCCTGAGGCACAACGGCGTCTTCGCCCCCACCCCACCCCGAGAGCGCAGGGAGTACACTGCGAGAGGGCCAAAATGCCTGGGGGGACACGACCAGGCCAACCTCTCGCTCCCAAAGAGGAGCCCCCAGGCCACCTTTGCGACCCTCCCCCGAGGCAGGAGGGCCCAGCCCTGAGCGCCGCTCTTACCCACGGCGGGTGAAGACGAAGGGGGTAGCCGAGCAGAGCCCTCGCGCCCGGGCCAGAGCCTGCTCCCCGCCCGGACACTCCGAGCCGCCCGGTCCGCCCGAGCTGAAAGGCCAGAGGCCCCGGGACTTGGAGCCGCTGGCGCCCATCGCTCAAAGCGACGGCATGACAGGGGAGAAAGGCAGGGGGGGGCAGGAGGGAGGGAGTGGCGAGGCGGAGGGAGGAGCCACCCGGTGCCTCCGGGGAACCCAACGACGGCGCCCGCTCCCCACCCAAGACGCGCCACCTCTTCCCGGTCACGCAATTTCCGGCTCCAAGACCTCCGGAGATCCGCTCTGCGAAGAGGAGACGCGGGCAGCTGATCTTGAATGGGGGGTAAACCGAATGCGTCTGCCACGACACTTCCGGTCCCCAGTTGTCTTTGAGGGCATTTTGCGTGGTGCGGACTAAGATCGGCGGAATGCCTAGGCGTGAATGTAACAAGAAGCCGTAAAGCAGGTGGCGCGACAGGCCCCGTTTGCCGGCTGGGTCTTGAACTAAAACTTACCAAGAAGGCACAACAGAGCCATGAGTTCTTTCCCCCGTGTGGTTTCTGCGCTTTTCAGTGAGACAGGCAGAAATTCGACCGGTCATGATGGCGATATAGGTTTCGCCTCTATTTAACATCCCCTCAGTATCCGTCTTTATCCTTCACTTTCTCTAAGAGATCAGGATGGTGTATTGGTTCCCTCCCCACCAATGCTCCCTCTAAGCTGTGGAGTCTTGTGAGCAGAAATTCTACTTTGTGTGCTCCTGGCATTAAAGTTGTGAGCGAGCGATTTGGCTACTGCATAAATTAGCTTGCTCTTGAAGCCCTCCTTCCTGAGCGGAGACAAAAATGTGTGAGCCGGAGGCTAAAAAACTGTGCGCTAGCTCACACTAACAGCTTAGAGGGAACACTGCTCCCCACATATTTTATCTGCACAACAACCCTGTGAGGTCTGAGAGAGGACACAAGAGGTTTCTTTTTGCTGCAGTATTTGGAAAACGTATTTTCTGTTTCCCCTCCCCAGAGGAAAATAATAGGATTAAAGTATTTTTGAGGGGAAAGCCTCCTGAGTCTTGTCTCTAGTCTTGAAAGACTGTGTGATCTGCAAAAATTCTATTAGCACAGCCTTCCGGTGTGAAAATACAGTGAAGGAGTGCAACACTTTGTTACTGTCTGCCTGTTTTATACTTATTGCCCAGTTGAAGCCCAGCACTACGATGAAACTCTAGTTTCTTGTAGCCATTTTTAGAGCTTCCCAGTTTTCCACTTTCTTCCTATTTTTCCTCCCATACACAGCATTTCCTTTTAAATACCGGGCCCCGTTACAGCAGCGAAAATCATTAAATATACATCATTATTGTAATGCACAGCAGTGCAAGAGACTGGAGTTGGTTCCTGGTTCCCAGTCTTCCTTTAGGTTTGCATTAGTTCTTGAGCATTCCCGTTATTCTCGCCTCGCATATGGAGGAAAGCCAGTTTGTTTCCTTGTATTTTTCTTAGAGCGGATTTGGAAGATTCCTACCTCTATGGGTGCCTGGCTCACGAGACAGTGATCTCGCCAATGGGAGGAGTTTTCCGGGAAAGTGGGCCGTCTTTCTGAACACGTTTCTTTTGTCTCGGTATGGAAAGGAAGTTGCGGACATGAACAGTCGTACTAAAATTTTCTACAGGTCGCCTGTACATCACGCTTGTCTGCTATAACGCTAATCCTCCAGACTATATGTACATTTCATTCGGGATAAGCACTAATGAACGCAGTGGGGTCTGCGTCCCTCACTGGAATCTTAAACAGCTTCTAAATCCATTGGTTTGGAAGGGTTTAACGGTTCTTGAAATTGCACTGCAATTAAACCAGCGTACGTTGATTCTTTCAATTGTTTTTACGAGGGAAAGAAAAAAAATACTTCATGTATAAATTTACACACCCACCCACCTGTAGTAGTAAGCCATTTAGCCCTCATGTGGAAGGCAACCAGAGAATGAGTGCACAACAGAGATTTGAACCCAGCTTTTCCACAACCAAGTACACAGGATCAGGCCAACTATTTCCATGTAAATGAGTTTAAACCTGAGGCAAAGATCAGGACAACTTTTCCCCACCCTTCTTCAGTAGAGACCCACCAAGAGTTCACTCTGATTTTCAGGACAACACTGATAGTTTCAGGGAGTAAATATTTTCCCAACCCTCCTCAGTTGTGCCTGGTTACTCCTACTGTTTTGGACCTTTTTCATCTTTTCCATTACTGGGCCATCACCAGATTCCTGTGAATAATTTCAAGGCCATCCCAGCCTAGCAGGAAATCACACAGAATGGGATGCCGTTATATATCTAATTAGATTGTGTATCATGATGACATCACTAAGGCTAAATACAGTTGAAGACAATGCTTCTTGAAATGGCAAGTATTAGAGCCCCTTTTCCAGCAATCACTGAAAAACAGATGAAGAGTGCTTCTTGCTGTTGGATTCACTGGTACGGCAGTCAGGAATCTCTTGCCACAGCTGAAAATAATAAAAGCACTCCATTCTCCTTCAGCTGTCTTATATTGCAGAGCAAGTCTAAAGGTTTCCCTTCCTTGAAAGCTAGTCGAATCCGACTCTAGGGGGTGGTGCTAATCTATTTCCAAGCTGAAGAGCCAGTGCTGTCTGTAGACGTTTCTGTGGACATGTGTCCAGCGTGACTAAACACTGAAGTGCACAGAATGCTGTTACCTTCCCATCGAAGCTGTACATATTTATCTACTTGCAATTTCTTGCTTTCAAACTGCTAGGTTGGCACTAGCTGGGGCCAGAGATGGGAGCTCACTCCATCACACAGCACCAGGGTCTCAAACTGCCAAGCTATAGACCTTCTGGTCTGCAGCTCAGAGCAAGCCTAGCATAGGTAATGTTATGCCCAGCAGATGGTGCACAAATCTGACCAAGTCAATAGCCTTGAAAAACTTTATGTGATTCCAAGACAAGTAGTATTGCAAGGAAGCACTCCTGTCAGTATGCACATGACTGGCATTCATACATCTAGTCCTGGTCTCTGTGATATGTTAGAGATCATGTGCAGTCTAGTACAGCTCCATACAAGGAAGCACTCCTGTCAGCATGCACATGACCGGCATTCATACATCTAGTCCTGGTCTCTATGAGATCATGTGCAGTCTAGTACAGCTCCAGCAGCCACAAAATTAGACTCCTCCTGGAGGTTGACATGTCTGGCTAGTAGAATCATGCCTTTCCTGCCAGGACCTGCACTGCGAGGCATGACCAAAGGGCTTTGGTAGCACCCACCTGTGCTAGAGGGCATTTGTGTGTAGAAGCTGCTGCTAAGGACATAACAGGGATTCATACAGACTTATACTAGGAATAAGGCCCACTGTGGAAATATACGAGCTCTAGAAAGAAGCTCTAGGTGGGTGCCCTGGCCTTGGGCATCCAGCATCAATTTGCTGTGATGACCTCAACAGGGTATGACACAGAGCTTAGTTTTCTCTGCGAGAACTGATCTCTGCCATATGAAGAGTTGTAATTCTGTGGTCTCCTGCCCTCCCCTGGAGATTGGCAACAATGGTTCCCCAGGAGGAACTGGCTGGTTTGCAGGGTGGAGTCTGACACTGCACCTGAGGACAGAGTATTCCGGTGATTTGTTTGCACAACCGTATTAACTGTATTTCCATTTTTGTATAGTTGCTCACCTGGAGATTGGCAGCAATGGTTCTCCAGGAGAAAATAACTGCTTTGGAGGATGGACTCTATATGGCATTCTATTCAGCTGAGGCCTCCCCTCCCCAAACTCTGGCTTCTGTAGACTCCACCACAAAATCTCCAGGAATTTCCCAACCTGGAGCTGGCAACCCAATGAGTTCCCCATAAAGGCCAAGGGAGGGCCTGGAAAGGGACCCCTATCTTTGCCTTTTTACTGACAGAACCAAGCTTGGTTGCCTAGCAACAGCCACTGAGGGGGAAGTTAGCCCCACGTCAGGAAGAGAATGGTTTGAGGGCTGGTAGCTCACCTCAGTAGCCAGCCAGAGGAGCCAAGCAGGAGACGCGTCTTTGTCAGGAGAGACAGCCGTTTTGGCAGTTTATTTGGTCAGGGAAGTGGACAAGTCAGCAGTGGGCAGGGGAGAGGAGCAGACCCAGCACCCAGCCAATGGGAGAGCTGGAAAGTGCCAACGCGTTAGGGCTTTTATATATATCAGATATTTAGACATTGCAATGACCATTGTACAGTTGGGTTTTCATTCTATATAGCAATGAAATGCAATTACAGCATTCACTCTCAACAGACTCTCCCTCTTTAAAGATCCCCTATTATTTCCCAATTCTGAGTACGTCAAGGATTTCTTCTGTTCTGGGCTCACCTAAGGTATCCCAGCAGGAGATGGGGCATTCATTTATGTACTTTTATTATTAAAAACCATTGCTCCTTAAATGAAAAGCTGCATTTTGGGAAATCAGGAGAGCATTTGCTAGCACCAAAAGCATTTTTGAAAACAGAATGGATGGTCACTCTTTTAGTCATCTTCAATTTGGTGTGGCTAGCCAGGACGAATCTATGCAAACAATTTTCCAAAGGTATGGACACTGCTGTTATTCATCAACCCCATGGCTTCCTTTAGTACCGTTTCCTTGTTGGAATATTAGAAAGAGATGGGTGGCCAAGATTAGAAAACACAATGAGTAGGCCACCATGGGAGAAGTGAATTTGGCCCTAGGCTCAGGGTGACTGGGCTTCATCTGCATACTGTCAAAGCGAGAAACTGGTTCCAGAGGAACATATACACCAGACACATCTCACCCCTGAATCTTTTATTGATTGGTATACAAACAGCACCATTGACACCTTGAGTAGCTGAACTTTTCATCTTCTGGGTACTCAAGGCAATCTTTATTTTAAACTGTACTCTTCAATAGGACCTGCCACTGCTAATAAGCACAGTTTTCTCTAAGTGCCTGCTCTGAACAGCGTACTTCGCTTTTCACAGGACGTACAAATAGATTTGCTCAAGCTTTGTAAATATAAGCAGTGTAACTTGCTTCAGGGTACAGATGCCACCCACCCACCCCCACAAGAAGGAAGTACAACTACTCCCCAGGTATAGGAAGGGATTCCCTGCTAGGTCTTGCTGAAGTCAGATATATGCCAATGTCTGTCAAAGGCATGCAGGTGGCTGTGTGCGTGCACAAATTAGACAGTCAAAGCAAGAGCTGTCCTCACCAGATCATAAATCTAAATCCTGGGATTTGTCATGTCCCCCATCTCCACATTTTTCATATACAGGGCAACATAAGGGATAGCTGGATCAGAAAAGCAATCAGTCTATTTCCTCCTCCGTTTCATGGATCTGTGGTTTTGGAAGATCACTCTATACTCTATTTTCTTTTACTGTCCTTGCTTTTGGGGTGAGGCAGGACATCAACCTTAATCTAAACAGCAATTCTAAATTAAGTACTGGAGTTAGAGCAACAGTGGGAGAAACGCTCTTGCTTTTTTTCTATGGATAATTATTCCTTTGGCATTTTGATACCTACCACATACTACCAAAGGCTATCCAGCTGTGCTTATGTCCCATTTCTATTTCACCTGAGTGGGGGGGACAGACTTTACTACCCCTTGTTTTGTATGGCTACAGCCCAACCAATATCTTTAGCTGATAAGCACCTTGGGGCTCAGTTCTTCTAGCAGTCCTTCTGTTATTTGAACCAAAGAAAAAGTAGGTAAGATTGACTAGTCTATTCAATCCAGTTCATGAGCCTTCACAATCAGATTCCCAACAGAAATACAAAAGAAGTCTTGGGGGGAAAGTGCTTGCTAGGGTGACTTCTTGGGGATACATCCAAATTTGTGGTCATTTTGGTTGACTCTGCTCTTATTAAAAACCTCAAGACTGGCTGAACTCACCATCAAGCCAGTCTGTAATACAAAAATGGCATCACATTCCTGATTGCCACAAACGTACTAATTTTTTGCATCTCTACACTCATTCTTCAGGTAATTCCTACCTGATCCCACTGTGCCTTCCACTCAACACCACTATTAACCATTCACTCCATAAGGAGCAGACACACATGCACCCATTCATTGGCTCACCAAGGGAATCAGACATCCTTGTAGCCCCTTTCCCATCCCCCTGCCCCTCCAAAGAATTACATTCAGTCCACAGACACTCCTAGGATTGCTTCATTCGTAGTTCCACTTGGCTTCACCACTTCTTTGTATTTGGCATCTTATCCTTGCTGGAGTGCTGGGTCTGGAATGGGCACCTCAACCCGGGGTCCGGGTGGTCAGAGCCTCCTGAATCTTTTGGCGGCAGTGGGTATATTTTTGCAGGATCTGCCTGACATGCTCCTCTTCTTCACGTTGAAGGATACGCAGGAAGTTCTGCAGCTCAGGCATACTAAAAGCATCCCACTACAGAAGAGTGAGAGAGGAAGCAGTGACAGAATTGATATTAGTTTAGAAAGAAGACACTATGCTTTAATATTACATAGAAAGGCCAGATTTGTAGAAGAGGGGTTCATGTGCTAAAAACTGCATGCATGCATCAGTGAAGATACACAAAGTAAATAATCTGCAACAATCAAGGATCATGAACTCTATAATGAAAAATGTACACATAAGCCTAGTGTTTTGAGCTTCTAGAGAAAATTTATGCTAGTGTGTGCAGTTATGAGTGCCCACATGTTGCCCTCTTTCTGGCCAGGCAGAGAAAAGATGAGCCAGGTGTTCACTGTCAATCAATAGGTATTTGGCCTTGCCTGCTACAAAAGATATGTAGGTAGCCAGGCCTATATAATGGAGCGAAGGTCTTAGATGTACTAGTTAATACACATACTCACATTGACTTCTCCAGTCTCATTCTCTTTTAGAACAAAACTAAGTGCTTTTTCATTAGGGCCAGCCAGCAGTCGGAGACGCAGAGGTTGTTCCTCATCAGAAAGTTTGCGGAGATACACTGATACATAAGAACATCAGAAAGAATTAAATTAGCAACTCAGTTAACAGTCACTCAGTCAAGAAGATATTGGGGTTTTTTTTTGCTTTACACAGTTCTACAAGAATGCGTTTCTCATTTCTCTTGCTAGGATGTGCTACAAGGAACAGATCATAACCAAAGGATGTGAGGCAGGTTTAGCTACTTTTTCTTCCTGCCCATTCCTGTTAAAGGTCAATATTGAGCACAAATTTTTGCTGCATTTCCGGCAATATTGAGCATGATATTAATGTGCACCTGTAATTAATAGTGGGCTGGATCCAGTGATCAAAGGTGTTATTGAGCACAAATTTTTGCTGCATTTCCTGCGGCCACTAGTCCCTTCTGATTCTAAAAAAATTGGTTCCCAGCCTGGAGTCACATGACCCATGTGGACTAATAACTACTGGGAGGGGGCTGCTGCAGTGGGGGCAATTTGACCCTCCTCTTGTTAGTGGAGCCTGTGAAAGGAGGAGGAGGGGGTGATTTTGTTCTCTTCCTCATCTCAGTGCAGTCCCCCAACACTTGAGCCATGGAAAGGTGGGCTATATTTTAATTAATAAATAAAATAAATATGGTGATTAGCTCACGTGCGTCCTGCAACCCCATGAATCACCTTTTCCAGGGTTGTAAGGAACTTCTTTGGGGGAAGGGAACACAGCAAAGATTCATATCCCTTGCTCCAACATATCATTCAGCCCAAAGGGAATAAACTCTTGTACAGAGTTGCTCTTCTACATCTGCAAGAACTTTACAGATGAGACCAGGACCTTGGGCAAGCTGTAGCTCTGATAAGAGCTGTCCTTGAAAAAGAGCAGTTTCTGTCAGATCTCTCTCAGCCCCACCCACCTCACAGCATGTCTGTTGTGGGGAGGGGAAGGGAAAGGAGTTTGTAAGCCGCTCTGAGACACCTTTGGGTAGTAAAGGGCGGAGTATAAATCCAATCTCTCCTCCTCTCTTCTTCAAGACAAAATGAACAAGCTTGCTCTACACCATCTATGGATAGTTGTTTCCATTCTCTTCTTAACTGTAATTATCAGATTGTATCACTTGGTTGCTGCTACTATAGGAATAAGTTTGCCAAAGCTACTGACCCACATAAACTTTTTAAAAAGAGTCACAGGCCCACATAATTGCATCATCTGTGGCACACTGAAAACTAAAATGAAGAATAACCTGTTACTTACTGCTGACTACCAGAAAATGAATCTATATATCTAATTCCCAACATGGCCCCCTGCATGCGGATACTTATTTCCACAGATCAGGAGCACATGGAGGGAAAAGAGATTATCCTGCACATTTGGGGCACCCCCCAGCTGTGCAGAAAAATCTAAAAACTTTTTTAAAGGATACGGGGGATATTTAAATCCCTCCAAAAGTACAACAGCTTTTTCTGCTCATGCGCAGAGAAAGGACTTACCAACGACGAGGAGCTTTCTCTCCCCCTCCCTCTCTCTCCTTGGAAAGTTTTGAGCATGTGACTGCCCTTAGCAACGGCTTTCCTAGCGACGAGGCCTTCGCAGGCTTTTCCGCTTTTGGGAAGCCAGGAGCAAAGAGGGACGGAAAGCGGCGGGTGGCTTTATGGCTGAGCCGTACTGGCACTGGGGAAGGACGGAGGGGGGTCGGGGGGGGGGGGGGGGGAGAGATCGACTTGGTGAAGGGTTGTAAAGAAAAAGGAGGTATTGGCTTGGGGAGAGAAAGAAAGCGGGAGGGGGAGAGGGAAGGAAGCAAAGGTGGGGGAATGCCTCCTCTGTGCAAGTTTCTTGTGGGTCCACCCTTGTAAATTTATAAAGCCTGGAATAGCAGCAACCTATATTCTCTGAAAGATGGGGAGGGGGAAGAAGTGTAGTACCTTGGTCATCTTTTTCTGTTCTCTCAAAGAGGGCAAACTTGCGGGGGTTGTCAACGACCATGAATTTCTTGAGCAGGGCCTCTATGACCTCACTGGCACATGTACGAGAAATTATATGCAAGTGCTTGACTGTGTCCTTGGGTAGGTAGAATGAGGTGCGGCGCTTTACTGCTTGGCTGCGTGAGGAGCTCTTTCTTGTGTCTTGGATAGAGGGTGCCTTTTTATTAGCAGGCACTGAGACAGGACGAATCAGCTTTAACTGCACCTTGATGAAGCCGGTGTAGGAACCATCTTTGTTCTGTAGGAACAGAGATACAGTGAGCTATGTATGGAGGCAGGTTCATGGTAACCAAGGTTAGGCCACAGCCTCTTGAAAGGCAATGAATTAATAAACTCAAAGTGCAACATCCGTAAAACAGATTATTTAGGCTGGACTTTTACATCCAGTGAAATGACTGCAGAATAATACAAAGCTAGGGATGGCTACTGTACATTTGGAATGGTCACGATATAGTAGCTTCTGATTTAAGGATTCAGCAGTCAGGTTTGGGAAGGCAGATGCGAGCATCTGAATCTCAGTTTACCGGGTTGTCACTTGGCCCTGAGTTATGACTCTCCCTGGACTTACCAAACTCATGAAGAGGTTGCTGTTGATCTGGCCATTGTATTCCTTTATCTTCTGCTCAATCTCAGTTTGGGACAAAATAGGCTTCTCCCAGTCAATCTGCTCATCCTGTAGAAGAATTGGTAGTCTGTGATTAACATGAAGAATTGGTAGTCTGTGATTAACCTACACTTCATAGAAGGCTAAAATCTCACAAATTCTTCTATATCTGAATTACCTCTAATCTCTTCCTCCAATTCCTGAGACGCAGAAGAGGATATACCAGGTTTAGCAATCCTCATATCCTGCTTATGACCACTTGGATCCCTTTTACTAACACGATGGGGCTTCGTTTTCCATGCCAAGTACCCAGGGCTCCATAAATTCTCTTATCTGCTTGTCAATAATGAATTCTCTTGCACTTCCAATGAATGCCCAATGCAAGGGAGAAAGAACTCAACCTTCTTTTTTCCACCACCCACAAGTTTTCCAGTGACAAAGGCAATATGATTTTTCTCTTCTGAGCAGGGCTTTTGTAGGAGGAACCAGCAGTGCCTTGCTGTTTCTGCTGCCCTGCATGAGGGAGAGACACAATCACATCTTCCATAAAGCACAGAAAAGGAGTTGTTCCTTTTCCTCACACTGGGCTTCTACATCAGGAAAGCAGCAGCAAAGCACCATCATTTACAAAACCTAGCACAAGATCAAATACTCGTCTATCTCCCCAAAATTCCATGTGTATACCACATGACCTTGGGAAAGGAGAACACAGAGGTGAACCACAGATTTGCAGATCCTTTTATATATACACAATCTATGAAACTGCTACTGATAACTATACTGTAATCCAAGGACTAAAGCCCTCTATCCAGAGCTCTCCTTGCTGCCATCAATCAGAAGCTTGGACTTTATGACACCCCCACCACCACCGCTTGCTCTGTCAGCCGCAGCTCCCCTACTGGATCCAGATTACAATTATGCTTGCAAACTAAATGTGCACTCTTGACACACATGCAACTCAATTTCTCAGAAGATACCCTTTCAGAATCCAAAAGCTCTTCTTCAAACTTCCAAAAACAAACAAACACACACCTGTTTGAAAGATAATTAGCATATTCCCATCAGAAGTGTTTCCTTTTTAGGAAGTTCTCACACTAAATCTCATAACTACTTCCTTGATTTAAGAGAATTTAACAGCTGGAGGTGTTAACAGTGATAATTTCTATAAGGTTAACACCAAGATATTTTTATGCATGCCCTTAGATGGTATTCTTAGGAGATAAAACTGATCAACTGCAATGGTATGAGCTGGAAGAACAGCATAACCAACAAATGAAGTGAATTCACTGTACTAAACTGCAATTACTGGCCCACTTCCCAATTTTTTTCCTCAGCCGTGCTCAGCTGATAAAATCTCTGGGTTTAGACACCATATGTGTGGGTGTAGCAAGAGAAACTGAGATAATCATACTACACCCTTGTTTAGTGTTTCGCCAACCCAGGAACATGGCAGTGTCCTGGCCTCATCATTAATATACAGCATCAGACTGAGAATGAGAATCATTATCAGAAAGGCTGCAAGGTATACTTATGCTACACCTGCAAACTGCAGCACTTAACCACCACCTGGATTCCCTGAAGCTGCAGAACAGGGGTTAATATCATCCTCTGTGGACTCCAGCCTTCCCAGCTCATGTGTGTTCAGTTGTTGGTACACAGAGAAACAATGCTGGCAAGAACATGCTTTAGAGTATCAAGTATTTTTAGAGTATCAAGTTTTATCTAAGGACGCTTTAGGATCCTAGTTTGATAAGAAAACATTTTTAGAGTATCAAGTTTTATCTAAGGACTTCCATAGCTTTGCAAACACATTTTTTAAAACAAGAACAGGGGAAATGGTGCTTTACAGACATTACTAACTGGGAGACCACTGCTCTAAGTATGGAACTAACTCTTCTCCAGTGTATCTATTTTAAAATGTGCCACCTTTTAGCAGTAAAGTGTACATTTCAGGTGGCTACCAATATACAGAAAATGTGGTCACCTTTCTTGCGACGCAGTTACAGGTTTTAATGTTAGATGTTAGAGAGTTCTCTGTTCAGGGCCACAAGTTCCACCTTACAAAGCATGTAGAAATTACACTATAAGCTCTCTTGTCAGAACTTTTACAAGGGTTCCACCAGTGCTCCAGCAACAACCTGTGTTGGTATGCTGGTATGACTGTTTCATGAAGACCTTACTTTGTAATTCCACATGATTACATCTCAAACTAAGCTACGATGTTGATAACTCTAAGGATCATGAGGTAGTTCAAAGAGATATTCGGTCACCATGCACAGCACCAGTGTTTAAAAATAATTATTTTTATTGTTCTATACAGTTTTCTGGAGATGTGGCTAGGAAAGAGTCCTAATGAGCATGAACAATCTAATGATACATGAGCAATCTTAATCATGTGTGGTCCATTTTGTTAAAACAAGCAGAGAAAACATTTCACCTTAATGTTCTTAAATGACAAAGGTTTGCAGAAAACTAATCATGAACAAATCAACATCTTTCAAGCCATTAATGCAAGGATTTAACAACTGTGTTTACACCCTCAGCTGAGAGCCAAGAATGTGTAGCACAAATTGTCACCAGAACGGATACCCTGCAGCTCCTGTATGAACATGTAAAACACACTTAGAGAATTAGGAACAGTCTCCCACATGCATACCAACTGGTTTCTCTTCCACTGATTTTTCAGCAGAAGTTAGTTGCTTCCCTCTTGCATCAGCCTGCTTTCCTGTTGACATCACCCTTTGGTGGGGGAAGGGAGGTTGTGGGGAAATCCAGATGAGATCACCACAAACCAATAAGAAGTCTCCAGGGATTACTGGGAACCACTTCCTTTCCCACCGCATGAGTAAATAGAAGAAGCAGCTCACATTTCCCCACACAGTTGTTCAGAGAGTAACATGCAATAATGCTGTACCGTATATATATATTGAAGCTGCATATCATGCAAATTTAACAAAATAAAGATTTCTGTCATATATTTGAATTAATACAATCCAATGATTTAAGTACTGGGTTTGTATACAATAATCCTAGATTCAAATCCCTGGCGAGTTATGAACATTAATTAGGTAGCCTTGGGAAAACCGCTTCTCTTTCTTTATGCTGGATTGCTGAGAGACAAAAGTGCTCTGAGTTTCTGGGAGGTATGATGGATGTGGACCTAGCAAATCAACATTTATTTAGCAGAAGTCATGGGAGCCACACTGCTGTCATGTGTTAGAAAGGCACAGGCAGTCATTATGCCACAGCAGAGAATGTAGACAATTCCCCCAAAGTGGGAATAATTTTAGTTCCCAAGGGGTGCAGCTGACATTTCACCTGGATGTATCTCCCACCTCACCAAGTGCCAACTCTAGCAATACGGCACTATCATCTTTGAAAACGAAGCAGCAGAGAGGCAATATTCTACTTGTGCTGCTCATGTTTGCTTGGGACACATAATGAATACTCATGTAAGAAAACAAATACTTAAATGAAAGGTGATTTATTTACCTCATTTATACCCCACCTTTCTCCCCAATGGGAACCTAACATGGCTTACATTGTTTCTATCCTCACAACAATCCTGTCAAGTAGATTAGATTGACAGTATGTGACTGGCCCTATGAAACCCAGCAAGCTTTCACAGCAGTGTGAGGATTCAAACCTAAGTCTTCAAAATATTAATATAGCACTCTAACTGCTTAAAGCACATTGGTTCATATTGCCTTATGTAGTACATAAGTCTGGACCCAAACCAGTAGGTTGGATCCAAAGATGACTTTTCTTGCACATGAATCCTTCTTCCATGGGCAGACAAACACCTTTCCATTTCACAAATGCTTTATGATACACAGCCTGTGCCCACAGCTGCTCTGCTATTACTCCCATTTCATAGCTGGATAACAGTCATTTGTCCAAGGACACTGCATAATGCCACTACTAAACTACCTTCAACAGCAACAAGGACTGCTCCATAGACAGGGAAATATTTTCAGAAACCATATCAGTTAAAGGGAAGTACTACTACTTCACCCTATCAATATGCTCACATTTCATATCAGAGCCTAAGAGCCTAAGTAGCTTCTATTCTAGGTTTTGGGGAAAACAAGGAGGCAAAAGATTATACAGTTGTGATGTTTTAATCAATCTGCTACTCCAAAACCTTGACAGTTTTATTGCAGTCTGTTAACCAGCTCCATCACTATCTCAAATTAACCAACCCACAGCTGGAGGAAAAAGACATTCATGTTGTGCACAGAATCCCAAGGAATACAATTTGGCTTTTATGGGCCCAGTGTATGGGAGAAAGCTGGCATTTGCCCTTCTCTCCTTCCCCTTGGAACACACATCCTTGGGAGCTGTTGTGGACAACCATTCCCACTACTTGTTGCCCATCAGTTAACCAGATAAAAGTCTCTGTAGCAGGCAATTCTGCTGGAGAGTAATTTGCCTATTAATAGATCTGTCATGTGAGACTTGACAGACAGATTCTGACAAATCCAGTGAAACCTGGACTGTGGCTGGATTCTGGGAAGTTGAGTGTAACAGGGTGGGGAGGATTTCCCATGCACAAAGATCTGATCCAGGGAATAAAATGGGAAGTGGCTGTATCCTGTGGAAAAACAGCAAGAGGAAGACTGCAAGGGTGGGACAAGCATAAAGGGCAAGATGGCTCTGGCTAGCCTAGAAAGAACTCTCCTTCTAGCTAGGCGAATGAAGTTAAGGACACTAGCATCCTGTTTACAAGACATCAGAAATCTAGACTCAGTCCCATTATATAACAAACTCAGAGGACCCTAATCAAGATGGTAGCCGTCTTAGTCTGTCTGTAACAGTAGAAAAGCGCAAGAGTCCAGTAGCACCTTAAAGACTAACAAAATTTGTGGCAGGGCATGAGTTTTCATGAGTATCTGAAGAACTGAGCGCTGTCAGAGGACACTGTTGTCTGTCAAGATACCTATGGCCTCTGTTTCAACAACCATTAAGCACCTTACAGCAGCTTTAGAATACCATATTTTACATACAGAAACCAGAAAAATAAATGGGGCTCTTCATAGTCTAGTTCAATACCTGGGGAAGGGCCATGG